GTAAAAGGAATGTATAATGTTTTTCAATAGAAGCAAAAATATACATACAATTTTTTAAATATTGTTATTTTTTATTAAATTTGTTATTTTAACTAAATTAAAATAAGAAAAATACTAATTTGACTAACAAAAAATTGTAAATAGAAGAAGAAATATATTGAGTGAGAAATGTTAACGGAATATATAAATTAAAATTGTTGTTACTAATTTAATTTGTTTAATTAATAAATAGAGAAAATGTGAAAAATATTACTGACGCATTATTAATAGGCTTTCTGCTTTTTATGCTGAATAATTTATGTATATAAATACATTTTTAATTAAAATTGTTCATTTACAAAAAAAAAATAATAAAATCTATAATAATTAAAAATAATTTGTAAAAGATAAAATGCAAGAAAAGCACGGTACCTACTTAATTATCACTTCAAAAAAAATTTGAAATTCTGAAACCATAAATAAATATTCGATAATCATTTGAAATAAACCCTGAATTATATGCTTAACCTAATCTTAAAAAAATGCTGCCTTTATAGAGAAAGGGCCTCAATTTATATAAAGTAAATTCAGAAATTGCTGCAATCCAAAATATTCTTTAATTTTGGACTGATTTTTCGTCATATCTGGAATTATATTAACTACTTATACTAGACTTAGGCTATATGTCCTAAGTGAGTCATATTTTTAGCAAGACGATTTACTGGTTGTATACCATATACCATCTTTTCTGAACTAATGTTAATGTTAAAAATACAACATAAATATTTTAAATGACGAAAATGTAAAATTGATATATGAAACTGGTACAAATCGCAGTAAAAACTTATTTACAGGAAAACTTTCCTTAAATGATTTAATGGTGAAAATTTACTAAATAAGAACTCTCAACACTACTTATTTAACATTGTTGATGACTTTGTCAATAAAAGAAACTAATTCAAGTGTTGAAGGGAAAATCACGAAAAATGTGAAAGATGCTAATCTTGAAAGGTTAAATAGCATTCATATGAGTGACTTATGAAGATACTACTTTACCAATCTATATTTCATATAAAAAATTATCCCAGTTAAACACTACATCCGAAGGTTTCTGACAATTCTAATAAGGCTTCGTATATTATCAACTACTGCTATATTATAAACAATTAGTTCTGATTTATTCTGTCTGTAGATAATTACATTTAATAAATCTATAAAAAATAATGACAAGAATTTTTTACTCAATAGAAATAGTATTGTCTTTTATTCCGACAAATTTTAACTGCATTATTCATCACTTACTAACAAATAAGAATCTTTAAAAGAAAGTTTTTAAAGGTCCACCATCTAAACTGAATTCTACAACTGCATGGCCTTTTTGTTTATTTCAGATCAATAAAGATTAGTTTTCTATCTAGATATTAAAACAAAAAAATGTGTAGTATATTAAAAAAAGTTTTCTCATCCACAAATATCTTATTCTTTACAATAAGATTACTTATGTACAAAGTAGTACACAAGTAATCAATATTAAAGCAACACATAGCAGTTATGTCTATCCAGTGAGATTTATTTGTGAGCATGGATTACCACGTTGTTACTGGAGTTATATACCAGCAGGTCAACAATGCGAACATATAGATCAGGATATCATAAGTATTTTCAACACTTTCAGCAAACTGTCATGATTTGTGAAAAAAGGAATTCCATTTCCATAAGCTACAAAGAAGTAACATAGCAAGCACCTATAGAGCACTATAGAGAATTTTTACAAAAAACACCAATTTTCCCCTTGCTATATAGGTATTATTAACCATATTTTTTACAGGTAAATAGTCAATATGGAATATCACTGGTTAAAAATTCAAAACGTATTTTAGTAAGTTAATGTTTTTAAGGGTTTATAACAAATTTAATTATGGAACAGGGTTTTCCTTAGGAATTAGCATAATTTTCTTAAATGAATTAGTTTTAAAGTAGATATACACCACTGATATAGATAGCATATGATTCTTTTAAAGAAAAAAATATCTTTTAAGTTTAAATTGAATTTCATTGCATATTTTTCGGCACAAAATATTAAAATTATAGTTAAATATTTTCGCCGCTAGATAAAAACTAATAAATAATGAATTTGAATAGAAGGATGAGAAAACTTTTTTATATAATAAATAAATGGGTTTGGTGGTCGTTTCGAGAAGGGACATGTGACTCCAACTAATTAATAAACTAATAACTAATAAAGTATTAAATATTCAGAGTATATAAATATTTTTATTAAGTTTTATAAATAATAAACTAAGTTTGTTGGAGTACCAGTTTATAAGTTATTTTTGTGCATAGCACGATTTAAAGCGAATTGTAAAAAGATAATGAAATATGTTTATATCATACATTTATATAAATACGTATATGAAAATAAAATAACGTTTAGTAAACCCAAACACATTTTGTTAGACAAAAAATAAAATAAAATTTACTTATATATATAAATATATAATAAAAACAATAAGTTAAAATAAATAATAAATAAACATATATGTATATATATCAGTTTATTTATGTATATATACGATCAAACTACAATTAGTTGTATGTATGTGAATATTAAAACCCTTAAGGAATTGTTTATGCCTAAACATGCTTTAATATGATTAAAAAGCGCGCTAAGAAAACCCACAACTAAATCAAAAAGCTTGACAACATTTCTTAAGTATATAGACAAATATAAGTTAAATGAAAGAAAAACAAATAGTGATGAAAAAACTTTATCTTTACGAAATACGAATACGTATATTTGAACTACTATTGAGAACTTTAAGATTTTAATTTACTACAAACTCAAATCACGTTATTTTTGTGCTTTTCATGCATTTATTCTCTTTTTACATAAAATTTTTTTAATATATATATCTTGAAATTAATATATATATATATTATGAATTAATAAAAACGTTTAGATATAAAATCAAATATTTTTAGAATCTTATAGCAACTATCTGACAGTTATGTTTTCAATTGACCAATAACTTATTTATAGATGAATAGAGCAGCCTGAAGCAAGCTTAGATATTTTAAGCACTCTGACGAAGGGGCAGGCGGCTCAATTTCAGAAAAAATGCAAATATTTAATTTCATTGAAGTGATGGAAATTGTATTTTAACTCACAATCTCCAGAACATGCATTAGTGCACACTTAACTATTAGATTTTTATTCTACTGTTTTTTTTTTTCAAGCAAATTTTTTTGAATAGCATTGTACTAAGCTCGGTTCTGTCTTGCTTGAATATAAATATATGATTTTTCATCGGGGTGAATTATACAAGCGAGTAACCTATATCCATAACTAACCAATTGCAAATTTTGCAAATTGGCACAAAAGTCTATTGGGGTAAAATAAAAAAGTGCTATCGGCATAGTGAAATAATAATTTTTATAAACTGTAGAAATATTTGCTCATTACAGAACCATATGGACGAGTTTATCTACAATGGATAGGTTTGAAAACCAACTGTTTTAACAACTTTCTCATTACGCTGCAACAAATAGAATCGGTATCTGAAGTATATACTTTTAGTTAGGGAATTATGCACACAGCATAATGGCTTATGTTGCTCTAGAAGAGGGCTGTCCAGACCAGAAGCGATCACGGGACAATACAAATTACTGTACAGATTGAAATAGTTGTTATTATAAATACATTATTACATTTTAAATACGGTTATAATGTTAAACTTAGTTTTATTAATTTATCAATTTAAATTTATTTATTTATTTATTTGGTATACCATAAAAATAAAATAGTGTTGTTTTACTAGTACACCAAAAGAAAATTTGCATAATTGTAATAGATTAAAAACATGTCACGGGCCGTATAAACTTTGGACAGCACTGCTCTAGAATAATCAACAGTGATACTAAAAAATAATACAGATTTATGTGTCTTAAAGGGTATATGATTATAAATTTTCTATTTAAAAATTACAAAAAAAATCTATAACTCTATAACTTTGTTGAGTCTTCAGATGATTTTTTGATTTTTTTGTTCTTCTACTCTCTGGATAAGTATGAAGAAAATTTTTTTAAATAGATAGCCAAAGATAAAGTTTGCAAACGGGTTATACATAATTAACTGAACACACTTTTTGATTTAATGATTTCAAGTGAGAACGAAGAGAACATTTAGGAAACTCATAATCATTTAAAAGTATTGGCATTGAGAAAAGCAATTACTTATATAAATATTATAATAAAATACTAATAAAGTTCAAATGAACAGGAGCATATTTGTCTATTTTTAGATAGTTGCTTATTAATTAATTTGATTTTGATTTTATAATTAAACACGAAACTATATAAAATAATACTGTTATAAGAATATAAACATTTACACTGTGAAACTTAAACTGTCTTGAAAATGTTAAAATTATATATATATATAAAAACAACAATAATACTGGGTGCCAATTAACAAAAAACCAAAAAAAAAAAAAAGTTAAAATATATAATTATAATAAATAGGGGACAAAACAGAAATTTATAAATTTTTATAATTAATAATAAAAACGTACTATTTGCAATGAAAGTGAAAATGAAACAGAGTTTTTCACATTAAATTTATTTGTTTCATTTTAGTAATAAACGTACATTTTCCTTCTGCTGAGAGTTATTGTTTATTAAGTAATGCAAAAGTTTATATTAAATTACAAAATTCGCCCTTTAACCTAAAGCAATTGTTTTCATATTTATGATTTTTTATTTGTTTTAAAAATTCAGCTTTTTATTAATTTGGATTAGTTTAATAGAGACAAAGAAAAAGATAGGGGTTTTGGTGTAGATGTGGATCATTAGCAGGATTCATTGGGGATTTTATGGAGGGAGGGTTAATTAATATATTGTTTTCATAAATATATATTTATATATACTTATATAAAGGATTATTATATACTAAGCATATGTGTCATATATATTGTTTCTTTTTTTAGTTATTTTCATAATAAAATGAAAAAAATTTATCTTACCCAGCCATATTCCAATTATCCATGTTCATATTGTTAGCCCTGTTGTTGTTGCTATACCAAGAGTTACCGACATTTATCCCGTTATTGCTGTTGTTGTTGCTGTTATTACGAGATGTATGATTATGTTGATTCTGCTGCGATTGATTGTGATAATGGTGCGGAGAGAACAGCATGCGTCCACGTATGGTACGTGCAGGTACGTTCCTGGAGAAAGTTCTACGGGTGGTGCCTGTATTATTTGGATTTAACATTATAACGCGTTAGTCTTGTTGCTTTCTTAATCTTAAATATGCTTTCTGGTAAAAGATGCTTGGAGTATGGAACTGATTGATCCTAACTCCCACAATATGAACGCTAATTGAAATTGAGAGAGGTTTGAATTGGCTTTCTTTGCTTTGCTGTTCTATATTTGGTTGTTGTGGTTGTTGTAGTAGTTCACTTTAAGAAATTACTTGGTGTTTTGTTTTGTTCTATAAATGTGTTAATTTCTTGATTGAATCTAATTTGATACAACTGAAATTCATATAGAAAGAAGTACACATATATAAGTGTTTATTTAATTAAGCTTTAAACAAATTCAAAAAAAAAAATTTTATTTCGATATTTTATGGAGTACTATTGAACTACGAACCATGTATGTTATGTTTTTATACATTGAAAATCTTTTAGCCTTCACCAAAAACATATTATATGGCAAAAGCATTATATGATAACGTAAGCTATCGGAGCTGAATGTGAAGTTCGGCATTTCAGATAAGAATTATTAATATGTGTAAATTTTTAAATTTCAAAATAATTATAATTTTTCACTACTTATTGAAATATATTTTTATGGTTACATACATGCAGCACCGAAATCCATTAAATTATATTAAATGTTATATATTTGGCTATATATATCAGAATCTTAGTCATAAAAAAACGAATAAAAAATAATATGATAAAAATTAGGAATAAATTTTATATTTTTATTATTTAAATTTGTTTTTTGTAACTTAAATGTCAACTTTTTTAATTTAAATATGATAAAATTTAATTACTTCCTAAATGGATGGGATAAATCAAAACTTGGCAGGCAGCCAAAGATAATTAAAAGCGTTATTGAACTGTAAATAGTAAAATAAAATGGGCTAACAATGCATAACGCTATTAATTTGTTTGATTTATTCAGTTCGACTTTAATATACGATAGGAAGAATATACTTATGCCCCAATCGATATTAGAATACGTCCCTAAAAAGAAGACATTTAGGCGGTCATTTGAAAGACTGAAGGTAAATTTTAATTATAAAAAATCTACTATAGATGGAATGCTTTGTTACATTGGAATCACAACCTCTAGTACCCAGGAATAACATAATATCATAGATTATCGTAATTCAGTGGTGATATAATAGTATATTGTATTAAAAACCCTAAACTCATCAAATGATATGTATCATATTTGCTTATGGAATAGTATTTAACTAAATATGACTACTAGATCTAGCTCAGGGTCAGAACAGATTGAAATAATTATTTTAATTGACTCGATCAAATATCACAGAAATAAGCTGTAAGTTCATGTTGATGATGCCAAAAGATATTGTTTTCAATTGTGTATTGCATTTATTATCGCAACACATCACTGCTTAGATAAAATCTACAGCATATACATGATTAAAAAAATTCTTACAGCCTTAAGATGTTATTTATTGTATTTATTATTGTTATTGAATATTTCCTAACACTACTGATGATGAGTACGTAGCAATACTCGAAAAAGCGTTGTATGGTCAGCCAAATTTCAATAAATTAACTAAATTTTTGTTCTTGTCTTTTGTTTGCCATTCGAATCCGTCTAATTTTGACGTGTCACTCTTCGCAAGAAAAAATTAACGTTACTTATTGTATTATAATTTAATTATTTAGTAGTTATTACATACAAATTCAATATTAAAAATAAAATCGAGTGACTCATACCTTACATGAGTTTAATTCAGTACTATTATATTAAAAATTTATTTTTCATATTTATTGGATTAAAACAATTGAAATGAATTGTTCCACCAGCCTGAACTGAAATGAATGCTATCATCGATAATTTATCTTAAAATTAGATTCTAAGTTTGCTAATGCCCATTAAATGGAACATAATAATCTTATATTTTCTTCTTCTTTGTTTAAGTACATAATCCTATTTACGATGTGATTAATTATTGCTTATATCAATTAAAGTTGTTTTTTACCTCTCTTATTGACATCAAATATTATCATTACGAAGTGGAAACCATCTGTAATTAATATTTATATCTGAAAATCTATCATTTTCGATATTGCTATTTTATGAATGATAATGATGATTATATTGCATCCTTAACAATGAAATCTTCAGATTAAGATTAAGTTCTGAGCCACAATATGCAACTGTACACATGTTACCACTGATGAAAACCTGAAAAAGTATTTTAAGCAGTACTGGCTAATACTCGCAGTTTAAACAGAACAAGAGTTAGATAAGATTCAAACGGTTTCACTTAATCCTAATTAGAAAGTTCCTGTTCCTTCACTTTTGATACAGCGTTCGCTAACCTTGGAAAAATAAATATATATTTTAAGACTCTGCGAAAATTATTTAAATAAAATAAAGTGGACTTTTTGCACATTGCCATAACGATTAATAAAATGTGGATTTACTATTAGACTACGAAACCCGAAGATTGGATTGAAAAATGCAAAAACGCTCTTAAGAAGACAATAGGTACCATTTATTGGAATGGCAAGAATTTGTTGTTGGCTAAATACAACATAGTATATGATACGAAACCTAGTTTCTTATACTACTAAAACTATGGTTAGTTGGTTTTAGTAGCGACAGCGTTTCCTTTTTTGTCCAAAATGCAAATTGACGCCATATCACACACTTGAAGATGATATTCTAATTTATAGAATCAGTTTATACCTTTCGTAAAAGAAATTTATTTTGTTATATATATGTAATTGGGATTTTTACCAGGCTCATTAATTTGTAGACTATTATAGTAGAATCTCTTAATGTTGGCAGACCTGAGAGTTTACATAAAAAGCATTCAATAGTTTATTTTTCCCTGCAGTTTCTGCATTTCTTGTTGAACGGGATACCTAATCGTTTGGTATTGGTGCTTTCAGCCCAATAGGCTGTCAGTACTAATACAAGTTTTATCACTTCCATCCCAGCTCTTCCTATTAGGAAACGTCGTAATGAAAAACATTTTCATTTTCAAAAGGCTAATATTATTTTATTTCTCTTTTTTTATACCGCTTTCTGAAACTTCAAGACTCCCTTTTGCTAAAATTTACAAGTTTTTTTTTAAATTGCCTGACCATTTTTCTTTTACCAGATCTAACCCGGTGAAAATTTTGTACTTTGAAAATTTTCCATTTTGGTTCGAACGGAAATATTTTTATCAAATGAATTTAAATACAGAATAAATGGATTTAAATTTGAGTACTACGACGCAATGAAGAAATTTATAAACGTTTCCCTTTGACTTTGGGTCCAAAAATTTTCTATACTTTTCAGATCAATAGAAAATATTAAATAATGGCTTGTTTATTAGGACAAACAAATAAAGAGCAGTACTATATTTTAGGTTTGGAGATAAGTTAGCTTGAAACAAAGGTTTTGTTTCATAGAGCAATGCACCAGACCATTCATCTGTTACAACAAAATTGGTCCAATTACTACGTTCTTGTCACACCTACTGTACAAAATTAAGTAATATTAATTTAAGTCTGTAGAACAATATATTTGAATATTTAGAGAAAACAATAAATTATAAATATATCTTTTGGTAGATTATATTTTGATTTTAGTTTAACAAAATCAGTATTCTACTGTACAAAATATATTGTCACATGGTATATGAGTGTAAACACGGTAGATTTAGTTTTATTTAAAAATAATTTAAAATGAGTATTCATTATTAGTAAAGTTACAAAAATGAAAATCTTTTGATTAATTTTAATAAGGGAAAAAATTATCTATTCATAAATTTAAAATTAAACTTCCCAAAACAACTATTGTAAGTTTTATAAAAAAAATTATATTAACATTTAAAGTAAGAATATCTCATATCTCTTGTTTATGATATTTGTACAGAGTAAAGTTATATGTATGCGTGCAAATGTTAACTATTTTTGTATGTATTAATTATTTAAAAATTTAAATAAAAATATAATTGTTCTGAGTACAGTTTATTTATGGATTTAGACACCATAACAATGTGTGTACGTACATACATAGATTAAAATGCGGGATTGTATTTAATTTTATTAGAAAATTCTAAATATGCAAAATGGTGTGTAAGTCGTAAATAAAATTGTGATATGATAGCAAAGCGCCCTCTAACTTTAAATTTAAATTTAAACCACAACAATAACAATAAAACACAGTTTCGTATTTTTTTATTTTTAACTATTCGCCAAAGTCAGATATGCAAAATCATAAAAAAAATGTATTAAATAAAACAGCCAAACAGTTTAATATTAAAAAATAAATATTATATATTATATTTTATTATTCAAAGCTTAATGCACATATAATTACATAAACATAATTACATATTATAACTAATAATATTAAATAAATACATTTTTACACAGAAGCATTTATTATAAATAAAATATTTAACCTTTTTATAGTTTAATGTTTCTTCAATAATAATTAATTTGTTTTGCCATGAATTAATTAGTTGAGTTTATATATATATAAATACATTTTCCGGTTAAGTTTAAATTAAATACAACTACAAATGAAGTGTACATAAAACAGTTTTTTTTTAATAATATTATTATTCAAAGATATGAGCAAAGGAACATTTTACAAATATTAAATGTGAAAATAAAATATATTGCGCTCAGCACATATTACAAAGGCTTTAAGTGATATTACATATGAGATCAAATCAAACTTTTACAATAATTATAAACAATTGGCAACATTGTTTCTAAAGCAATTTACATAACAATTAAAAATATTTGTAACATAAGTTATATTATATAAATATATAGATATAGATATTTTTAAATTGATTAGAAAAGAAGAAAAACTTGTGATGTGAGTTAATGAAAAACGTCGAAGAGTGGAAAGAATGATGAAAGGAGTGCCAGAATTAAAAATTAGACAATCTTTAAATTTCCATTTTTAGAGTTATTTATTTAAATAAAAAGTATTAGGATCATAAAAAATATTAAAAATAGATGTAATATTAGTAAGGTTTGTGTATATAATTAAGAAGTAATTTTCTTAGCATAATGATGAATAACATCTAATAGAATTGTGAAATAAAATTAAAGTAACATCAAATTATACATTAAGACCGAAAAGTTTTCGGAAATTCTCATTTAAAATTCGCGCGCTGTATATTTTTGGATATTTTAAGTTTATGTAGTTTGGCAGCAATTAAGGACAATTACTATGCCAAAAATGAGCGCGATCTGTCAGACAGTTCGTTTACGGCAGCTGTTGAAACCAGTTCACCTCAGTAGTGCGTTGCGAAAAAAACAATGGAAAAAAATAATGAACAAAGAGTTTGCATCAAATTTTGTGTTTCGAACGAAATTTCGTGTGCAGAATCGTTGCGAATGCTACAAAAGGCTTATGGGGAATCAGTTTTATCGAAAACCCAAGTTTATGAGTGG